CGTGTTTTCAAACGCATTTAGTATGTTTAGCGTGAAAAGAAAAACTTTATTAAGCAATGGATTTATGCACTTTTATAATAATAATTCTGAACATACAATAAATTTTTGAATATCAAAATATATGGATAAAATTCGATTTGCGGGGATAGATATGTTACCGCAAAATCATTAATTATTCGAAAATTCAAAAGATCATTAATCATTATAAATTCAAAAGATGTAGTTTATATAAATGATTCATTATAAAAATGAATCAGATATAATTAAATATATCAATTCTACAATATTTAGAGAAAAAGTAAAAAATTAAAATAAAGATATATTTTATATTTTGATATTCTCAATTTATAATTTAAAAATTAAACTCATATTTAATTTATATAATTAATAGTTCTAATTGATAAATAAAAATTTATTGTGAAAATTATTATCATTTATAATATGAATATTGAAGAGCAAAGTTAATACAATACATACTGCACTCCACTTTTTTATATACTTTATACTTTAATTTTATGCAAGTGCATTATTTTATAATTTTATTCCTTCTTCCTTGATTTTTTTGACCATTTATTAGAAGCATGGCTAAAGTTTCGGTTAAATGAATGTTCGAAGTTTTACCATTCATTCGAATATTATGCTGAAGTTTTCAGATTATACCAACTCTAGGTATCCAAAATTGATGTTGACAGCTAAAGCGATATCTCTTTTCATAAAAGAGTTAATCTTTTGTTTTCAAAATATTTTTATCATGACATTATAAGCATCATTTTACATCGGAAGTTCGAATTTAATATTTTTAAATAAAATTAAGAAGCTAATAATAACATAAATCGTTCTAGCTTTTTAAGCTTGGTTAACTTTGTTTTTGAAATAAACCGTCTGACATATCGGCTGACATTCTTATCGTTATTTATTTAGGGAATATAAGCTGGGAAGAGATAATAATATATAAAAGAAATTAATACTCGTCACATATAAAAGTCATGTTACATAAATATCTTGCGCCACGCAAAGTTATGTATATTTTTATATTTATTTGTAAGATTAATCTTGAATTACATGTTGTTAAAATTCTTTATTGTCAAATGCTATATTTGTATCCAATATCTATAAGAAAATTATTAAATATTGACTTATATAAACAATTTTATATATACAAATAATTTTACAAATTATATAATAACATATGCATATTGCATTTGACAATAAAGAATTCTAATAACGTGTAAAAAAATGCAAGATTAATTGTATTTTTAATCTTTTATATATATATAATAGATACAATTATATTATATTACATATATACTTGAAAATTAAGAAGAAAATTAGCAATTTATAACGTAAAAAAATAAAATCATATATTTATCAAAATAATCGTGCATGCGACATACGATTAATAAGATCATCATCCTTTGCAATCACTGTCATCTTATGATACAGCGTAAAAGACAACACTCAAATATGACGAGTCAATAAATCGGAGTGGAAGCATTCAACGATTTCACAGAAAATATCCTCAATCATTCCATTATTTGTTAGACGTGAAATCCTGCTCGTTTTCTCGTTGTCGGTGAGACAGTCAATGGCGGTACGGAAGGTTAAAGGAAAATGCAGACCTCGGCTCGACAATAGGCCACCTACGGTCCCTTACGCCCCCGCTCGCTTTTTCACTCCCTCTTTTTCTATCGTCCCTTTTCGAGTATACTCCGGAATCTCGACCGGACCAGCTGCCCTAATGCTGCGGAACTGACTGTAACGCGCCGGCAATTGTCATGGTCTCGTGAATTGTAAAGCGCGCTAGGGAACATGCCACGAGCGATTCTGTCCAGGTTTATGTTGCATCCTCGACTGTTGACATTTGCCACCGGGCCTGGTGTTGTCCGGAATCGCCGGCACGAATCGTTTACATCGAGATAGAAACGGGATAAAATGGTTATATACATGGATATAGAGGGGAGAACCGTGACAAGGATTTGGTTGTTCGGTTAATTAAGCAACAATGGAAGTAAATCATGAGAGACACACGCCGAGGATTTATATCCGACAAGGGCGTCTTATTAAAGATTTAATTTATTAAGTTGTAAAATTATTTCGGAAGATAATAATAGAGTCAAGACTTATAAATTGTTTCCATTATCAATTTTTACTTTTTCTACAAATCATTAATTTACCTTTTTCGTATCTCCTTTTATTATTTTATATTAAATATATAAATGTATTATTTTTTTTTTGAATTTCATATTTCATCTAAATTTTTTTAATCCTTTTTTTCTTTAACCATAATTCTTTTTTCTATTCTTACAAGTATATTTCTTATAGATTGTTAAATTTTCCTGCAAAATAATTTTCCTGCGCTTATTCTATTTTTATTTAAAATTGATTAGACTTTAGAATCTGAATTCTCCTGAGGGGCTTGAGTCTCCCTTGATTCATCGCGTAAATTTTGACGACCGCGGTTATCGAGGTGTTATCAGCTGTACGAACGACGCCACAAATTCTGCACGATATTTCAAGGCGCGTTTTCGAGTCGCCGTTGGATTAAAGCGTCATCGCGGTATCGTGTCACAGAAGTACAACTGCGATCCTGCGAACGACCCTTCGGAGAATAAACTCCCTTCCAGTATTTATGGACTTTTGGGATTAGCGGGGGCGAGGGAGCAAAGTAACCTTCGTGCACGAGAGCATCTCTTTTGTAAACTCGGTTACGAAACACCTAGGCGACGAGAACGAGAGGCGACCCTCTCCCTTCTCGCGATGTAGATCGCGATCTACCTTGTTTATGCGATACTCTCGCGTAAGGGGTGCTCTTTTGTCCGCGGTTGATTCTCGCAGGGAGATACCGTCGAATGAATTTTGGGGATGACGGCGCTATATCTTGCACCCGGCTGCGGTTTCGCATGGATTTTACAAGCTCTCCTTCGTCATGCACGATTTTCAAGATACAGACGCATCGTAAACCGCTTGATGTACTTATCGATTTAAGATGTACGAATATTCGAAAAGCAGAATCATACATGAAGTTACGCGATATCTATATAATATTTATGTATGTCAGTACTCTTCTCGAGTTATGCACTTCGAAACAAGCATAAAGGAATATTTGTTCTTAATATATAAATAATTCTGTTTGTCAAAAAAATCATCATATTTCTTATCTATTATATTTTATCATCGTTATATTTAATTATGTGCGCTTTAATTCTCTTTAATGCCATTCATTATATTTCGATTGATATCGAAATAATTTGTTAAAATAACAGAGATAATTTTCATTAGTACATTCAAAAGATAGATAACTAAAGATGAGAAAAGTGAAGGTGAAGCATAGTACACGTCAGCAGAAACTTCCCGATGTTTTCCGTAGTTTTCGAGACAGGCGTGCGTTTAAATGCGAGAGTTTGCGACCTCTCCCTTGGATTGTTTTCCTTCGTCGTGGATAATTTCCCGTCTGCCACTTGCACCTCGCGCGGTAATTTATTGTAAACGCGAAGGCGGACGCGCCGGTTTAAACGATTTTCCAGATACGGCAGCGAACGGACGGACGAACAGACACGGAAGCGTGTTCCATCGCGGCGTTAACGATTCATTACGGAAGTGTAAATTAGCGAAAATCGTACCTCGCCCGCGTATTGCTCATCGCCAGAAAGATGCGATGATCATTAAAGAAACATTCATTCTTTAACATTGATACACATAACTAAAATGATTCACTCTCGAAGCTGTTTGCACACACAATGTAAGTATTTCTCAAATCGCGCTTTTCTGAACAATGTGTGTATCTGTATTGTAACATTAATACTTTTTATTAATTGAAAATAAATGCCACACATATACACACACAATTGAAACATTTTGGAAATTATACGTTGTTATGAATGTTAATAAGATGAAATCTTATTTCCGATGAATTTTGGATTTCCTCATTTCAATAGAATTTTAATCTAAGATCAAGAAAATATTTAATATCAAATGTTGAAATTGAGACAAGAATGCTATCTATTAAATTACATTTTCGGAAAAGAAGGATTTCAACTTTGTATTATGATATAATCATATTAGTTATTTTACATTGGATTTATCTATTTAGGAAAACTTGGGCATTATAAAACTTACTACTTAAACTTGTCTTTTTATTTTATTTTGTAAACGATTTCGATATTTTAAGTTTGAATTATTAAATTGAGCATAAAGAGTAAGATTGTTGAAAACAATAAAAACTTATAAATGTATGTATATAACTCACGTTATTTAAATAAAATATATCGTGTATATATATGAGAGGCAAATATTTTCGCAATGGAAACAATACTTCGTTTCGCATTCGCATGATTGAAGTAGTATACAGCTACGTTGTTTTGATTTTGTAAACGATATATTAAATTAAAAACAATATCTATAAATAATAGCTAGATAAAAAGTAGAAGTTTGTATTCAATATTTTATGAAAGAATTTTTTTGTCATAAATTAATTTAAAATTTCAATTTTACAGTGTCATTATGAGAAGCGTTCATTTTTCATGCATATCATTGTAAAGTTTCGATATAGATATTGTTAAGTTCAATATGTTAGCCAATTTTATCTCTTTATTTTTTTTATAAATAATAAATATTATATACACTATATACAATATACAAAAACAGAATATTTGAGAATCTAAAATATCCTGGATATGCTATTAATAAAGCATAGAAAAGATAATTTAAAAATTCAAAACAATGATAAATATTAAAAGTATTTTTTATATCATGTATCATGTATTTTACGCTATTTTTTTCGAATAAGCAAATAAATCGTATTACATCAAAGAATTATTATCCATTTTTTAATCTCTGTTATATATATATATATATATATATATATATATAATAATTTTAATGTATTTTTGTTTGCATTATTTTTATTATCAATTATTAATTAAATATGAATATATATAATATTTATTATTTATACATTTCATTATTTTCCTCTTTAATTTATGATTAACAATGGTACTCACATTGTTTTGATGATATAATACTGAAGGAATGCAAAACAGAGCACACAAGTTGCGTATGTTTACAGATGACGTGCGAGTGTACTGTCCTCATGACCTGGTGTTGCTCGCTGCCAAACAAATAATAAACGTAAAGCTTACATTTATTTTACGTAGCAGTAGGGACGATAAGAATTTACTTACATATTTTTCCTACCTCAAATCGAAGAAAACAAATTTCGAGCCAAAGCAGTCCCATTTGACACGAATCGAAAACGAAGTTACGATTCCAAGCGTTGTAAATCGCGCACGTGATATCGAAACATTTCGAACGTGAACCGCAACACACTCTCGAAGCGATAACTACGAATTCAGTCGTTTCATCGAAAACTTTGCGGTATTGTGCAATTTCGAACTTTATCGCAACTTTCAAATAGCTATCTTATAAGTTTCAATAACCGTTAATGTTTAAAAGCGCCGAAAGGCCATCTACTGCGCTAGATGTATATCGTAATGATTACAGTGGAATTTGGAGTTTGGAATTTTTCATGGTGTAAATGATATCTCACCTTTAATTTAAAGACGGATCTTTTTCGACGAAGATTTCTCGAACAGATTCAAGGAGAAAAGAAAAAAGGAGACGCGAGAAAGCATTACAAGATCTCATAATATCGTACTTGTTTCGAGAATCCGTCTTCCGTCTCGCGCGAGAGTGTGTCGAGTTAACCTATAAATTTTCCGCCTCGTCGGATTATCGACGCGACTCGGATTGTTAGATAACCAATCATCTAACACGTATTGCGTATCGTCGCGAGGACTCGTGAGCTCGATCGCGCAGGAATAACACAATCGTAAACGGTGAAACTGACTTTCAAGTCAGCCGCGACGAAAATTCCACGAAATGCGTTTATACGAAACGCGTAGTCGGAGATAGAGCGCGAGAGAGAGAGAGAGAAGGAGACGCGCGCGCGAAGAGAGAGCACTTCACCAACTTGAAGGTGAGCACGGGACGCGGCGGGGTTCGGCGCGCGGACGGTAGGGGACGCAGGACGAGGCGAGCCGAGAACGGCCGATCGCGCGGTGGTGGGGAAAGCCGCCGCCGTCGGCGGGCGTGGTGGGGGGGAGACGCTCGCTTGTTCACTGCGCTCACTCAGTTCCTCCGTCGCCGCCGTAGGGAGTGTGTTGCCGTTGCAAGGGAGCGTATCGTCGCGCCGTGTCGTTCCCTTCGCAATAGTGTCGCGACGGGTGTTATCACTCGCGTTCCCAAGACGCTTAATTACGCTCTTAGACGTGCTCTCGCCGATCGCCGCCGCGATACTTCGCTATGGAGACTCGCAACTTTCGTGCGACCCGGTGAAGCGCCACGAGCGCTATCGCGCGATCAATTTCAGTGTGTACGAGACGCAGTGAAACCAGCGTCTTTCCGGCGCGCCGCGAAATCTCAATTGCACGATATCGCCAAGTGGTCGGAGCGTAACTCGATCGCCCCGGGATCTGATTCGTTCCTGGAATCCGTTGGAGGAAATCCTCCTCCGAGGCGAGGAACCGATAGAGGAGAAGTTAACGGAATACGCAGCCGGAGATTGCAGCCGTCGGCAGGACGTGCCTCAAGTTCACTCGACCGATATCTGTGTCAAGGATCGCTCGGCTCCGAATTTTCCCGGAGCTCCCGGCGGGATATATAAACGAGGCCCGGACCTCGACAGTGTGTTTCGTGTGACAGTGACAGTTTGGTTTTGTTTCGATTTGTCATTTTTTGTGCGATGTGCTACCGTCCCACCGTTCTCCGTATCTTCTGTCTCGTAAGTACTACAACAGTCAACGAGCATTACCGATCGTACGGCTGTACTTCCGCGATCGCTCCTCCCATTTTTCGTTCGATTCCGCGATTCGATTTCGGAGATGCGAGGGTATCCAAATTTACCATCGCGTCGATACCGATACCGATCGAGATTGAAGGGAGCTTCAATTTGGAGCGACGGAACGGAATGCGGCGGTTTCAAATATCGAACGCGCCAAATTTTTGTATTCTGTGAATGTGTGATGAAAGTGAAAAAAATGCGAAAGCGCTATTCGAAGTCGGAGTGCGTTGATTGAAAATTAATTCGTTCACTTGTGAACTCGCCGGTGCGTTCGTTCGAAAAAATTTCGATTCCGATCCCGATCGCCGAAGTACAACCGTCGATTTTTTTCGTGTTTGTCTTCGAATCTCAGATGTGAATTAATCGATGGAGTAATCCAAGTGAGAAATCTGTTGCCGATGTCATTTCGCAATGATGCGGATTGTCATTTTTTCGGGAAAGAGATGCATCGGCAGGGAAATCTTATTGGTGGAAAATCGAGGAATCTTATTGATGGAAAATCGAGGAATTTTTTAATCACGAATCGTGCAAATGCACTCTGGCTTTTGCGATTATTTTCGTTCACGTTTATGAAATCTTGTATTATAAGTGAAACGCACGCGGATATAACGCAAACATGGAAATTATTGTTATTTACATGCATTTGTGATGCAAATTTTATACCCCGAAAATTGTTGCATGACAATCGTGTGTGAGAATTAGGTTGGTGAAAATTCGTAATAACAATCGTGTGTGTTCAATTTAATTCTGTAATCAGCAATGAAAATATATACATAGGATTATAAACAAATTTCGTGCATCATGTCCGAGGATTAAACTGTTCCAATCGCAGATGTGTGTTTATAATGTTTTCATTTCGCTTTTTTGCACGAAAATGCTATTTCATAATCGAACTCTATTCACATTAATTAAAATTACATATTTCGAGAAAAATTTGTGAAAAATAAGTGAGCACTAATCTAATTAGAAACTGTGTGAAAACATTAGCTAGTATATTTTTAAATATCTTTTAAGTTTATTTTTAAACATGTGATATATTTTTTAGATGAAATCGATATAAATAATAACAAACGCATAAAGAGAATAATATTTTTAAACGTACAAACTTTTTAACGTTCTCACTTTTTTAATTTTGTGCATAAACAATTAAATTTCAATACACATTATAATATCCAGAAGATGTAAAAGGTAGACTTTTAATGTTATATAAATATAACTCGTGTAAATAATTTTTAAAGATATATATCAAATTGCGAGAAACATGCAAATTGCATAATATCGATATAAGCTTGAATATGCTGCAACCAACAAGCATGGAAATCAAATCTGAAAAATGCTAATTACGCAAATTTAATTTCGTTTACTCCATAAATACGAGCGTTGGCTCTTTGTTTTTGTGTCGCGTAAGCAAAACTTACACGAGTGATACATCGCGTTAATACGTGGAATATTATAATATTACAAATATGAACTGTGCGATATATGTGTACGATATTTGTATAGCAATCTGATATATTTGCGTCCTTTTCCATTTAATAGAAAAGAAGAAAAAAAACGCGAGAAAACTCGAAACGAAATAATGCAATCCTCGATTTTCCATTAGTGACTTTTCCACAAATTTACAATGCAAAATATCGAAATCAATTCTAATCCAAGTGCTACTACGAATTGCTGGGTTTACTTTCTACGCGTGAATAAATCCGTGCTTCGTTTTCGCAACTTTTGCGACAGAGGGAAATCTCGGTAGCGGCGCGGAAATGCGGCCTTTGATTTTCAATCAGCAACTTCTCGCATTGAAATTTGATTTATCACCAATGAAAATAGAAGGGAAATGTCAATTCGAGAAAAACGATGTAGTCACGCGCACTCGCTCGATTCTTAATAGTTGATTTTACTCACTCGGCTCTCGTTTTACAATATCGTGATTTATTGCAATATTGTTTTGATGACAGCTTTTAATTAGAAACTCTTGTCATCGACTATGATGTATGCAATTAGAAAAGAAGTGCGTGTCACTCGCGAGGTGCGTAATTAACAACGAAGTACGTGTCACTGTGGTTCGTTAATAATGGACTGCATTGTTAAAAATTAAATATCGTATCATTGTTTTCAAAGTTTACCAAAGTACATAATCATCAAAACATGACTGCAATAAAAAAATGTGCCAAACGCATGCCTTAACGCACGCACATTTAATATTTCTCGTATAAAAATTCATTCTTGTGGAACGTAATCCGGTTTTTGAAAATATTTAAATATATCTTATATCTCAGGTAGATGCTATAAAAGAGACGTATCTTTCCCGTATCGAAAAACTTATTTTAAGTTTGCAAAGATCTAGATCGCGCACAGACGGCGAGTGAAACTTGCGCATTTGGAGATTTAAATTTGTGCTGCCGAGCTACTTGGAATTTCTAAGGATAATTCGTGAGACGATGCAAGAGACGCGATGTCGTGTCATTAAGCCAAAGATTACTGGGAGCGACGGAAGGCTCGCTTTGACGTGTCCCGCGGGAAGACCTCCTGTTTGGTCTCGTTTTACAAGTCAATGCTCAAAGCGCGCGTGCACGTTGCCCCGAGAATACAAACTAGTCTGTTTACACGAAAGTCCGCGGCCATCAGCTCCTAGCCCGCTCGTAAATAATTTCTCGTTTACATTTTACCGTTTTTTTGGATAATATGATGTCGAAAAAAAGCATTGATTGCGAGAAGATGGCAGTTAAATAACTGAAAAAAGTTTTAAATTGAATGCGCGTAAAATTGAAGGTAGGAAAAATGAGAATTCTTTATAAAATGCTGACATAAATAATACGTTTTTTAATTATGTGTATATAATGATCTTGTCTGTCACGGAAATCTCATGAAATGGAGGTATTCTTCTTGAATGAGATTTTTGTAGCACATGAGATATGTATGTTATGAATGAATTAAACGTACATCGAAGGTATTTACTGAAATTATCCGTCTCCTTTTCTTAAAATATAACGCTTTTTATGTAAAATTAAAAATGAAAAAACGAAACTAGAAATAACTTATCACGATGAAGTTTAATCGACTCTAATGTGGCTATGATCGTATAAAGAAAATATATATTTTTTCCATATTAAAATTAATATCATAATTTTTAAATGCAAAAAGGAAATAGAATAAATATTTGCATAAATTTGGAATTAATTAAAATTATAAACATACAGACAAGACCCGCTTAATTCTCTAGTGACAGAGAGGCGAAGGATGTAATCTGATTAGTGTTGGGGAATCCATGTTCGGATACGCTATAATTCGGGATACGTATGCGTGTATGCGGGATAGATCAAACGTTGAAGTTGGTGGTGAAACTTAAAGGAACATCGCGGCATCGCGCCGAATAAGTTATCGCTGCCGCGTAACGGAACTTGGAACAAAGTTCTTTGAAATTTAAGTGCCGGTCGCGTGATTGAGGGGAGCACGCCTGATGATTCATTTATATCAATATTGGGTGGGCGCGGAGCGATTAGAGCTCGTACCGTTGCGTTGTCATCCGTCGGACACGCAACGTACGCACTCATCGCTTGCGTAACACTTTGCGGCTTGTCGACGTCATTCTGACGCCCGTCGTCTCGTAATCCTCGGCTAATTGTTGAAGACACAATGCAATGAGAAGACATATATCTTGTCGTATCATGATTGCATCTTTTGGTAATGCATATCTCATTTAATGAGATGTACTTTTATGCGTTGAAAATAATATCAAATTAACACGAAGAGAAGAATGTTTTTTTTAAAAAATACAAAAGGCAAGAAAACGTTTTAGCAACGTTTTATAGTTTATTTTAATAAAAATGTATGACAAAATATCTATGTATCCAGAAAACTTAATTATTTATAATATATATAAATATAATTTTGTTTCATTTATTTATTTAAAAAATTATGAATACATTTATTCTGTTATTTATATATTATATCTGGTGCAATTTGTCGCTTCAACAGAATGATTAAGTTAAGAATTAAAGTAGATGAGACAGTTTTAAACTCGATGATGTCTGTTTTTTATACAGATTTTTTATTTTTACATTAAAACATGCTTTGTATAATTTTTTAAATAAATTTCTCGGAATAAATGTTTTTATTAAAAATATATGACTTCAATGCAGTAAAATTTCGAAATACCGTAGTAGTTTAACCAATATTAAGTCAACTCGATTATTTTTTGAAATTGTATTATGTATTTTCTAGAGCAAAGAATTTACTCTAAGCTATCAAAGTCATTTATCATCTCAATTGAATTTTGCTTGAGTATTCGGGAACAATTTTGCGATAGTTATGAAAGAAATACGTAAATGTCCCTTGAGTTTTTCAGCCCCCTAACTAGTCACCCTTTTCTGATATCATTTAGAAAAAAGAGGGGACAGAAAAGAACACATATGCCATATGGCATACGTTTATATGATGTACTAGAAAGATGCAAAATCATTCTCGCAAGTTTTGTCACTGATGACTGACTGAATAGAATGAGCAATGAGTGTATTTTGAAAAATATGCAATTAATTGATTCATATAATAATAATGAGATAAATTATCATTTACAAAGATGAGAATATTTTATAAAATGTGTTATATAAATGTACATCAATAAACCGCGATTCCCTTTTCCATAAATCTTGCGAGCACTTTGATTTTTCTATTATCTCATAAGAATATTAATGACGTTTTTTTGATTTTCTGGCAACTTTTAATCTTTTTTGTTTGTGTAGCTTCTGGTTTCTGAAAAAGAATATTGTTACGATCCAAATACGATTGAATATTATACGATCCAAAAGTTCAAACATTTAATCAAGTATATTTACACGCGGATAAAAACTAAATTGAAAATATATTCACAATATATTAAATATATTGGAATAATACTTGATGAAACTTTATCATCAAAGGATTTTTAAAGCCGATTATTTAGAAAA